CACAGAGGAGGGATCATGGGTTCTGCACAGCCCCTCTGCCCTCGCACTGGGACAAGCACAAAACAAGGAGCATTTTGCATCTCTGCCCTTTGATTGGTCACACACTGTCACTGTCACATTTTCTGAAAAATCCCTTCACCAGGATTTCTTCTCCTGGGAAGCTGAGAAGCCTCAGAGAGGAATGAAAACAATAATTATCTGATTGCTGCTCCTGTGTTTGCTGCTTTGGAATGTGGTCTGGGCATTGTTTACCAACAGGTGAATGTTTGACTGGTTCCATGTGAATTGTTTTAACTTAATGACCAATCACCATCAGCTGTGTCAGACTCTGAGGAGACAGTCACAAGTATTTATTATTCATTCTTGTTAAGCCTTCTGTCTGTATCCTTTCTCTTTCTTTAGAATAGTTTTAGTATAGCATTCTTTAATATAATATCATAAAATAATAAATCAGCCTTCTGAGAACATGGAGTCAGATTCACTCATCTCTCACCTTGTCCTGGGGGACCCCTGCAAACTCCACAACACACCACTTTGTTAGAGAAAAAGGGATCATAAAATCATGGAATGGTCTGGATTGGATGGAAATTTAAAGCTCATCCAGTTCCATCCTCATTGCCATGGCAGGGACACCTTCCACTGTCCCAAGCTGCTCCAAGCCCCAATGTCCAACCTGGCCTTGGACACTTCCAGGGATCCAGGGGCAGCCACAGCTGCTCCAGGCAGCTTTTTCCAGTGCCTTACTACCCTCACAGGGAAGAATTTCTTCCTGACATCCAATTTAAACTACTCTCTGTCAGTTTGAAGCCATTCCCCTTTGTCCTGTCACTGCATGCCCTTGTAAAAAGTCTCTCCCCATCTTTCTTGGAAGGCCCAAATTAGGTCACCCTGAAGCTTCTCTTCTCCAGGCTGAGCAATCCCAATTCCCTCAGCCTTTCCTCACAGGAGAGCAGCTCCATCCCTCTGACCATCTTGGCTCTACAACACCTCACGTGTTCAGCTGCAGCCAAAGGGAGATACCATCATGCAGAAAACTCACTGTACAGCGACCAAAGAAGGCACCCCCACCCCCAGATCCTCTACCCAAAATAAAGAGTTGGATGGTGATAAGGATTTGCACCAACATCCCCAAGCACAGAATCTTCATCCACAAGATTCATCTTGCACGAGCTCTACACACAGGGCAGACGCTCCATCCTTTAAAAAGTCCCAGAAGTGTCCATGGCCCCCCTTTGGAACAGGAGACATTTCAGAGCCCCAGGAATGCCACTGGAACAGCTCTCCTGAGGGGCACATTTCTCATCCCATGGGCCAGCTGTTTTATTCATGGCCTTTGAGGACAAACAGAGCCAAGCCTTGGCAGACACAAAGCAGAGCCAGACCCCGTGGCCTCTGCTGCCCCTTGGTTGTTTACACTCATCTTGTACAAGCAATACTTCACTGGAATAGGCCTAAAATATGAAAAAGCTGATTGCAAGACAGCCACAGACAGAGAAGACCTTTTCCCAGTCATGTCCAGGAAGAACAAAACCCCTCCTCTCCTTGGGCTACTGAATTCTGTGAATTAACCCTTTGCAGGCGCAGCTGGGTTTCCTTCGGGAGCGTTGTGGAATTACAGTAAGGAACAATCACTCTTCTTAAAACCAAAGTATTGATTATGCTAAGAGCAAGAGCACAGAAAGCAGACACAGCAGTTTCAGGACAGAAGTCTTTGTGGCCATCTGCCCTTATCATTGTGTAACACTGGCACAGGTCAGCCTGACTCCTTCAGAAGCTGGGCAGAGAAACACTTCGATCTGAGCAGTCCCCTAATAGCTTCCTCCTGGGGAGGGAGAGATCTCTTTTTAGCCTCACACAGTTCCTTCTGCTCAGATCAGCTCCAGCACTTCCTCTGCATCTTCAGATGCTTTCTCTGTTCCTGCTGCTTTTCTCAACAGGCCTGATTTAACATCTCCACAGAGCAACCTCTCCCCCTCTGACTGAGTTCACACAACTTGTCCACTGCACAGAGCAGCTGCATTTCTGTGCTCTGTATCCTGTAAATACTGGTTGTGTTATAGACACGAATGTTAATTCACTGTCAAGTGGCTCAGGGTGTAAAGCACCATGGTGCCATCAAATTGAATTAATACAGAGTTGGATTAAAGTCAAGATTTACCTGAAAAGTTATATTTAGACAGCTGACTTTAAGGGAAGAAAAAAAAAAGGCCTATTCACAGAGACTGATACTTAAAATTGTTTTTATTATTATTTACTCGAAGAACACATATTTGGAATCACAAAAAAAGAGAAAAACAAGATTCACCAAATATTGTCGAACACAAAGTGTACAGACACTTAAACTTGAGTCTATTTCTGGCATTTCATTTATTTTCTGTATGCGATACATAAAAAACCCAAATGTGCATGTTGACTGTGGCACTCATTGCATACAGATGACTTCCCCTCTGAGGAACATCTTGGATGCAGTCACATTTGGCTCTCTGGGAGGACTTTTTTTACATCTCCTCTCCCAAGCAGCTGTTCACATTGCACTTTCAAGGCCCATTCCTGCCAGCATTCAGAAATGCACTGGAACTTCTCACCTGTACGTGCCACAGCCTAATCCTTCTCAGATGCTTAAATAAATAAAGGAGCAAGGGAGGCAAGGCAGAAACCCCATTCTGCACACCAGCCCTGCTGGGATGATGCCATGGGAGGGCAGGAAGGTTTCACACACAGCATCCCATACACAGCAGCTGCCTGATGAGCATTTACTGTGAGACTGATCCAGGGCTGTGGAAAACAGGACGAGAAGAACTTTTACCAAACAGCATGGGAAAAAAAAGGACAAGTTTTCTCTTCAACACTTAAAGGCTATGCTATATCTTCTGTGCTCTGAAAACTATGCACTCCTTTGGCTGGAATTGCTTTAGCCAGGAGTGTGGTAATGTATCTTAGCAACAGCAGCAAGGGGGAAGACTTACTGTACTGTAAAAGAATTAAAACAAAATGCACATAGCTGCTGACTGTTCTAAATACATCCCTACCACTCTGAGGGGGTGTTCAATTATACTCCTGATTACTTTTCCCATTCCCTTTTCCAAAGGGGCGGGGGCATTTCTCCACTTTTCAGCTCACCCATGAAGAGCCCCGAGCATTTTAATTCCCCTTTGGCTTCAGCTGTGACTAGACAGGCCCTACAATGCAGGCTGTCACTATCCCAGCCACGTTAGGAAAAGCCATTACTGCAGCACCCCGGAGATAACCTCTTTGTGTGAGCCCGGCTGCCACTCCCTCAGGTGTTCAGCTGCCATCAGCCCCCAGCAGCATTTTCCCTCTGTCTGGAGCAGGTGGGACCAGACAGAGCAGGGCTGCAATATTTCACCTTCCTACTTGTCAGGCAAATAGAAAGCTTTGTGCAGCAGGGGAACTTCGCACAATTTCACCTCTTACCAAGGTGTGTGGTTTCCCACAAGCACAACAACCTCCTGAGAGGAAGTTTCATTTAAAACCTCTCCTCCAGCCCCCAGCCAGGCCACGGTCGTTGCAGGCTTCCCCTGCAGCATTTTCCTTCTTTTCTGAGAGTTTCACCAGCCAGGACAGGGTCTGCATCCCCCTCCTGCCATGGCTGCAGGAGGAAAAGCATCCACCTGCACCAGAAGCACTGAACTGATCCAAGGGAAGCCCTACAAAGGGCTCCAGATTTGAGGTGACAGAGCCAGAGTAACGAAAACATCAGAGAAAAAATGTGAAAACACTTCTTTTCCTTCAGCAAGGGAAGGTGGGCTCCCACTTTCTTTTTAAGGATTATCCTCTTTGAGCAACTCTGACAAATGCCTACAGTTAACAGCCTTAGCCAATTATCCTTCCCCCAAACAGCCTTCCCAGGAATGAACACTGTCTACCTCTTAATAAAACTTCATTTAATACCTGTGAAACACCTGGAAATCTTGTGGACGATTACTCCAGCGCAAGGAAGGGAAGGGGGGAGCTCTTTCAGTTTACTCTGGCAGAGAAGGGATCTCAGTGCACACAGTTCTGCCCAGATTTACACACAGGGAGAGACCAGGTGGCTGCCCAGGACAGCAAATTGATCAGGGGACACCGAGACTACACATGACTTCAGCTGCATATTCTTCAACTTTATCTACAACCGAGGACTGGGGGAAGAGCCAGAAACAGCCACAGAGTGACTCTGCTTAGACTTGCCCAGTGTTACATTTCAAGGTTTTTGGACTCTCCGCTCCATCCAGCGATCCATCAGGCACTGCCATTACTCCAGAGATGTCGAGATTAATTCCACCCTAAGTGTTCCCATCTTTCAAAAGGCCTCACTTGACTGCCGTTATTAATTCCGTGCATGATGAAGACATTTAAAGCCTCGCATGCTCTCTCAAGCAGACGCCTTGCGTGCCTCGCTCCTGCCGGTGCAGCAGCTGAATTTCCACACGCACAAACACACACACACACACACACCCCAGCCGTGTGAACCGGCACACAGGGACACTCCCGCATCCCCGAGTGACCCCGCATCCCCACCTCCACCTCCTCCTGCCCACCCCAGCCCCGCTCCCTGGGGGTGGCGATGGGAGCGGCTCCGCACGGCGCTGCCGGAGCCCCGGCTACCGGGAGGGGACCGGAGCCGCTCCCCGCTCCGCCGCTCTCCCTTCAGGGCTTTCGGAAACTTTTCTCCCCGCCTTGCCATCCGCTCCCTTAGCAGGGCAGGGCCGAGCCGAGCCGGGAAGTTTCTCCCGTGGGCGCTGGGTCGGAGCAACTTTCCCCGCACGGCCCCCGGAGCTCCGAGCGCTCCGGCTGCCCGGGGGCCGTGCGGGAGAAACGCGAGGAGGAGCTCGCTTCGGGGGAGGGGGAGATGGAGCCGGGGCGTGGGTAAGCCGCTCCCTTCTTCTTCCTCCTCCTCCTCCTCCTCCTCCTCCCCCTCCCTCGGCTGCTCCAGTCTGGCAGCCAGGCTGCCTCCGGCCGGAGCCGCCGCACTTGGGAAGCGACTCCCGGCTCCCGGGATGGGGACGCCGCTGGCGGCTCCCGGATTGCTGCTGCTGCTGCTGGCCGGCACCGCGGGGCTCTGCAGGGCACTGTTCTCCCTCCCGCTCCGCGTGTCCCACCCCGCCGCCCCCGCCGGGTCCCCGCCCGCCCCGGTGGTGCTGCGGCCGGCGAGCGGCAGCCGGCAGCAGGATGCCCCGGGCGCCGCGGACGGCTTGGCCTTGGCCTCGGATCCCGGCGGCACCCTCAACTTTTTAGCCATGGTGGAGAACCTCCAGGGAGACTCCGGCCGCGGTTACTACCTGGAGATGCTGATCGGGACCCCGCCGCAGGCGGTAGGAGCGGGCCGGGGGCTGCGGGCTGGGGGCGCCGGGAGGGATGGGCAGGAGGGGGCCGAACTTCTCCGGGGTGGCAGCGACTCGGCCCCCACCCCCCCGGCTCCAACGCAACTTTGTCCCGGTGCTCGGCGCTGGCGCCTCCTCCCTTCCCCTTTCTCGCCCTCCCTTGCCGGGAGACGGGGCCGGTGCCCGGCGCGGGGGAGCAGCAGCAGCGACTTTCCGCGGACCCGCAGGGAGGGGAGAAAGGAGAGAAGCATCCCCCGGCTGCCCTGTCCTGCCCCTGCTCGGGAAATCCGCGGGTCTGGTCCCCAGGGTTTCTTGTAGGCTGTGTCGCGGCGCTTGGATCCGAAGCGAGTTGCTCTGCCAGTCGAACTGACCGTGTTTTAGAGACAGAAGATGCTTTTTTGGTTATTCTTTGCTTTTTTAAGCTGCTCTGCGTCGTGATTGGGTGTTCTGGTAGCTCTTCCCGGTGCTCCCGGGAGAATCGCTCGGCATCTTCCTGCTGAACTAAGTGATGGCTGGACGCAACCAGCCCCTTCTGTCGGGAATGCGAGTGCTGCTCATTAACGGGGCAAAGAACCTGTGCGTTCTGAATATTGTTTTTAGATAAACCGTGTTGCCTTGAATCTTCCCTCTCTGCCTCCACCAGTGTGGCTGAAGTTTGTTTCGAGTTGTTGATTTTTTTGGTGTTGTTTTGTTTTTTGGGGGGTCTTTTGGGGTTTTTTTTTGGTTTGTTTTTTTTTTTTTTTTGGGGGGGGGGGGGGGTTGGCTTTTTTTTGGTTGGTTTTTGTTTTTTGGGGGTTTTTTTTGCCGTTGCTCTTTCATCTGTGTCATGAGATCCCAAGAGGAGCGGTGCTGGGCTGCTGGTGGGATGACTAGTCAGCTGAGTGGGGATTAATTTCCTGAGAGCCCTCAGGGCTTTCCTTCAGAACTTTGTGTTTGCTTCAGGAGTTTAGGTCCTGAGGTTCCCAGTGTAGACAGGAAAGAAAAAAATCTTTATTCTTCTGCTTAACTCCCCTACGTAATAAAAAACCAATGAATGCCAAAATGCACAGCCAATGGGGAGTGTTCAGCCGTCATTGCATTTTTGGATGTCTGGGAGCTCTTTCTTTTTTTGCCCCTTGAGTGTAAGGGGATTGGCCACATCATCTCTCTAATCAAAAGGTTTCACACTGGGATCAATGCATGCGTTGAGAAAGGCTGGCATTGTTTTATGATCAATAAATAGAGATTAAAAAAAAAAAAAGTAACTAAGTTTGACATATCAAGGTGTGGCCCAGTAGCCATGGAGGCCATGAAATAATTTTTCCTCCGTGTTGAGTGATGCATATTTGACTAGTTCTGTTAGTGTGGTGTGGTGTGTGCTTCATAACTCCAGGGAACATTCAAACATTCAATATTGGCTTCTGCCAGAATCGAGGCACCAGATTTGATTGGACTAATCACCCAATTCAGCATGTCCTAGATGAAAAAAAATAACTTCAGGTAGGAAAAGTGGCTCTCAAGCATATTATCTCCTTACATGTCTAGGGGGATTCTGAAATGGGAAGAAATGGAGAAGGGAAAAATGTGACAAGCCTTTCATAATATGACTGGAGGCCTAAGAGGGAGAAATGTGCTGCCCTCAGTACACCCACAGGGTTCACTTATGCTTAACAGCTCGTATCACTTGTATTACAGGTGATGGAAGGTTTCAGCTAGACTTGCCTCTGATTTTTATTTTTTTCCACATAAAAAACCCATGCTTTGAATCTGATTGCAAAGCTTTTATTACTTTGAACTAGTTCTGACTTCTTGCAAAGTTAGTTATTTTAAAGACTACCACTGGTTTAGCACAAGTGAGGTTTTATTCACAAGTAGACCCACTGAGGTTGTAAGTAAGATTATAAATGCTTCTGTTTCCCCAACCAGATCTTGGTGTGTAATGACTCAGTGGAGTGCAGTTAGAATTTATTCTGTACTTTTGATGAGGATGAATTTGTTATCTCGTTCCCTGCCTGAAATCAGAAGACTTAAAGATCACAAATGTACTTGCTGTTTTTTCTGCTTTGCAACGAGTAGTATAAAGCCACAAAGCTGCTACTGTTGGTACTTGAACGCTTCACATGCTGCTACTAAAAGCAAGTGTCTGGATAGTGCCAAGCGTTGGATTGTGTTAAGCTCCTTGGGCAAGTGGTTGCTGGAGTTGGGAGTGGGCTGTGCATGATGGTGTAGGAAAGGAAAATCTTTTCCTGATTTAAATGCTCCTCCCAGCCCGACTTCGCTTCACGTCAGCAGCCGCGCTGCAAAGTGATGCTTGGACACCTTGCTCTGCTCTTGCACCCCTCCAACCTGGGGCTTCCCAGCTGCCTGCCCGAGCCAGGCCTGTGCCAGGGAGCTGCCCTGGGAGCTGCCCTGACACTTTGCCAAGGAGGAAGGAGGATGCTGGCAGCGAGGAGCGCCGGAGCAGCGCGGCTGCGCTCTCGCGGAGCAGAAAGGTGCACGGCACAGCTGCTGCTCTGCACGGGAGCAAAGAGATGGGGAAATGCTCCCAGGGCACTGGTGGACCACGAGCAAGCAGCAGGCTGTGGGAAGAGAAAGCAGATTTGATGTGGTGGTTACAGCAGTGTTGGTGCCCAGTGGCTTCGGGAGCGTGTGCGTCAAGTGTTGGAAGCTGCTGTGCCAGAACGGGGAATGAACATTTGTGAAAGGCTTCAGCACTACAGGACTTGCTTTACTGCTCAGCTGCATTTTTAGAAATTTTCCTTTTTTAATTCCTGTTCTTGGAAGGAAGCTACTATGACAGAATTTCGTTTTTCAGGTCATTTAAGGCATACTTTTTGGCTTTCGTTCCAATTCTGATTTGTCATATAGCAGATAAACAGAGCACAGAGCTGCGATTCACAATGGCAGTTCTGAAACACTTGTTCTGACGGTACAAAAATAGAGCAGCTGTGTGAAGTCAAAATTTATTTTATTTCCAAGACAGGAAACTTCAATGCAGTCAATCCAGTTTTGCAAGTGTTTGCAGCCAAAGTGTATCTGATCATTTCCAGTTTTATGATACAGTATCCTTCCTAATCCTATCAGATCTCCAGACCAGTTACCAGGTTGGTGTCAAGTGTTATTACTCCCACTAATTCTTATTCATTCATATATAGACCTACTTAAGAATTATGTGAAAGGTGAGAGCAGTCTGTTGTATTGAAGGGTGTTATGTATTTGTCCCTTATTTCATGGATGTATAATGATGTGTCCTACTCCTGGTGGATTATGGGCTTTATACCTGTCTGCATAGGTGCACTTCTTCCAGTTCCAGATTTAAGTAAGAGGTGGCAAGAGCCCAATATGAATTGTATGCAGTGTTCTCAGCTATTTCTTTAAATAATCCAGTGGAATTCCTTTGCTCTATCTTTTATTATTTTGCCTACCCTGAGATTATAAGAACTGTGAGAAACTGAATCTAAGATCATTTAGGGTTTTTTGCTATCTTCACTGCAGTTCTCTTCATATTAATTTTGTTTCTCCTACAAGCTTTTGACCAAAAGAATAGTCAAACTCTTTAAAAAACCTCATGTTTTTCACAGCTTTCTTGAAGTCCATCTGGACTGCATTAAATGTTTGCAGGGACAGTACCATTGCCTCATCTAGCCTCTTGTACAAGGTGGTGGTTCAAGGGTCCTCCTGATCCCACTGCATTTCCAAGCTGTGTTTTTATTGAGAACAGGTAAATTTTAATCCTGCAACTTCTCTGTGAAAGAGAGACCAGGCACATGGCCCCTGAGAGCTCCAGTCTCATTAACCACAGAGGGATCCAACTTGTGCTCTGAATGCCACAGCTCCTTTCTTTCAGTGTCAGTTCTTCATTCTGTTCATGAAGAGGCTTTTAAATCTGCTGTTTATCCTAATGGCAGAATGTTCTGTGCATGGGGTGAGCAAAAACCCCCTCTATTAACTTGCTCCTAAGTTTTAAGGTCAATGTGGATGTTGGGTCTAACGGCCCCTGCTGCAAAACATAAACTTCAATTCCTACATAATTGGTGGGAGGTTATCTTCCCTTCCATTTCTTCCAGCTATTAAAGAGAGGAATGATAAAGAAGGATATGTATTAAATACCTCTAGTGTGTCATGGAGTCAGAATTTATGGCTTCATGTTTTGAGGGTGATGTACACACACATTAACAAGTTCTGAACTTGCAGCCATTATTCCTTAATTGGTGGTAGCTCTCATTCCCTGAGTGTTGAAAGGAATGAAGATGTGAGGAAAGATTCAGCTGCTCTTGTAATCTGATTTCTGATGCTGTGCTATTGCCCAACAAGCTCAGCTCCACTTTCTTAATTTTGCTGAAAAGGGTCTCACTGTCTTTCTAGACACAAGAAGTTTTAAAATGTGATCTTTCTTTGTTCAATTATCAGAAGGCAGGTTGCATCTCAAGTCTCTCTTTCTGTCTTTTTTTTTTTCTTTTTTTTTAGTAATTACTAAGGTCTTTTGTATTTTTTTTTTGAGTTCTTTATGAAAGCTGAAGAAACAAAAGCCTGAGAAGCAAAGGCAATTTCTGTGGTGCGTTGGAGTGTTTTGAGGTGGCAGTGTCAAAATCCCTCCAGATCTGTCTAGTGGAAATAGTATTGAAATGCAAAAATATTCCTGTTTTTAAATGGTGATTTGAGTCTATTTTGGTGGTTGTTGTTATTGGATACCTGCAAAATAAAGACCTGGCAGTTGTAATTCAGGACTAATCCAGTGAACAGCTGTGGCCTGGTGGGCTGTGATGTGTTTTTGACCCAAGACAAGCAAGCTAACATACCAGGTTTGGGTTAACCAAAAAGCCCCTGCCTTTACAAATTAGCATTCTAGCACCTTCTTCCATCCAAAATTAGCCCTGGCAAAAGAGGCTGTGTGGGAGTAGTAGAGGCTGTACTATAAAATAACCCAAAATATGAGTGCTGCTTACACTCAGTGGAAGAGGCCCACCATGGTCATTCCTCAGGATGCTCTTCTCTCCCAGAGTTAGGGATTA